CATTCTAATCAATACTACAATGTCAACACATCTAAAATTAAGTTTTCATTTGAATGCATTGCCTAGTATGTTTTGGAGTATTTAGTTTAGTTTGTGCGAAAATTTATAACAAAGATTGTTCTTGCCAACCAAAAGACCTTAAAAAAGATCAGGATATAAAACCTATCTTTATAATAAATATATTATACTAATAAAAAAAGTTCAATATGAACAAGAAAACATAACTCAAGTTATAATTCCAAACAACCAAGTTTTTATTAATATTTAACGAAGCTGCATTTAAAAATTATAATCAACATGCCATAGATATATAATATAATATGTTGTCAACTGGTAAGAAGAAAAATAACTGAATCTGTAGTTTTTTTTTGATAGGATAACTATAGTTGTTAGGTGAAACCCAAAAAAGAAAATTATAACAATGAACTTCATTGTTATAATTTCCTTTTTGGGTTTTGCCTAACAACTATAGGGATAACTCTTTGATTTGAATTTCATGACAGCATTGGTTGATCGGCATATATAAATCATATCTAAGTCCTAAATATGAATGAAAAAAAAAAATACTATTACTGAAGATTAAAAATACTTATTCTTTAACATTGAACTATGCTTAGCTTAGTGCATTAGATTAAAAGGTGAAATGTAAAAATCATATAAGCTACAAAGGTATAAAGACAAAAAAGAGATATGATACAAATTAAATTAATATATCTAAGCCATCCAAAAAGAAATAATACAAATTAAATTAATATATCTAAGCCATACCCGAAAAGTGAATGATTATACACAATATCTGCGTGAGTAGTGATGAAAAAAATGTGCGTTTTATAATAATATGCACATAAATGCGCATATTATATAAAATGTATATGATATCGCATGATATAATTTTTGGCCAATCTACTTTCTATTGTTTTTAATAACTTTAACATGATCAAATTTTTATCTCGATCTTGCTCTTCTTTTATGTTCATTCATTTTTTTTTTGGAAATTTTCAAGACCTTTGTAGCTATATTTTTTAATTCTGCCTAATAATACATTCTCTGACCTAAATTATATATACTTTAAATTTCCTATATAAAATTTAGATAAGATAAAATGCACATAATTCCAAAACATGTACATGAATGCGCATTAATGTGCACAATTACGGAATTATGCACATACATAAAACCCATCTCTAGGCGTAAGTTGATGGAAATCATACGTAAAGGAAATGAAAGATAAAAAAGAGAAATAATACAAATTAATATATCAAAGCCATTCCAAAAAGTGAATAATGATGCAAAGCATCTATTTTTGGTTATAAGGTGATAGCATAGTTTAAGCAATTTACAAATTAATGTGCAAAAAATCACAGAATTGAAAATAAAAAATCGTATGATAAAATGATGAGAAGGAACTCACCAACATAATAAAATCTTGGAAAACCTTTTGGGTCTAATGACTGGCACAGTTTAAACAACTTGCAAATTAAGAAAAACTTATTGTTGTAAATATGAAAGCTTTTGTCCTTGCATATGATATGTTTGAGTGAAATTTATATATATAAGAAATGTTTTTTTGCCTTGATAAAATAACTCTATATTAGTATTTGAGCAGTTTCTTGATATTCTAAGTTATACTTGTTCAAGACTAAAATCAAATTAACATTCTAGTAATAATAAAGTTATATATTAGTAATATATAAAACCAAATATAAAAAAAAAAAACAACCCAAATCTAAATATTTGATCCAAACCTAATCATGGATAGTGATAATGAATACGATTTGTATAATGAACCCGTTTACAATGAACTCATTCATGATGAATCTATTTATGATGAACCTATTAATAATGAATCCATTAATAATGAATCTGTCAATAATGACATCCAAGAAATTAATGAACCTCCTAATATATTTGCTAGAAGAAAAACTATAAGAGAATCTGCAAATGAATCGAGTTCAAAAAAGTTAAAGTAAACATTTCTAAATTGGCTAGTTCTACAAGCAAAAGTCTTATATTTGTGATTACTTTAAAAATAAAAAAGATCATGACTATTGCAAGATATTAGTTTTTCGAGCAGATATAAAAGTTGAATATGGAACAAATTATAAGCATGATAGTGGAACAGGGAACATGAAACAATATCTTTTAATGAGCATGAAATTTTGTTACCAGATAATAAGCCACATGCAAATCCAAGTTAAAAATGTCAGGTACACCTCGACAAGATGATAAAAAAAGTAACTCCACATTGTGCATCTAAACAAGCTGTATTAAAAAGAGTCACAACTAAATGGCTAATTACTGATTCTCTGCCATTTCATATTGTCAATGGAAAAGGGTATCGAAAAATGATTAATTGCCTTGACTCTGCATTCATACTATCTAGTTATAAAACTATTAAAACAGACCTTTTTACTGCTTATCAAAAAGGAGTAGTATAACTTAAAGAATTAATTTTTAGCATCTGCGAAACTGCCTTTATAATGACAGATTTATGAACTTCTCGCAATAACGATGAATATATTGGAGTAACACTTTATTAGTTAACTTCAGACTTTGAAGTACGTGATATAATGTTGGCTATTGAATATATAGAGTATCTTCATACAAGTGAAAAAATAAAAAACTATCTATGTGATAAAATAAGAGAATATGGATTATCTGAAAAAATATTTTGTGTTGTAACAGACAACAGGGTGAATATGAAAAAGGCTATTAGAATTTGGAATAGTGTAGACCGCATTTCTTGTGCTGTATATACAATTCAACTTACCGTAAACCAAGCCTTAAAAGTTATTAAAACCATATACTAAACAAGTTTGCCAACTTGTTAAATTCTTTCAGTCATCAAAACAATCTCAATGTCTCAATCAAGCACAAACTCAATACAATAATAATAATAATAATACAAAGCCAATTCAATTATTTGATTATGGCGATTTACCTAAAATATTATTAGAGAATAGTGAGAGTTTAGAAGTTCCTGAGAAAACAGAATTGAAGATTTTACACACTATTAATGATACAAAAACCTGGTAGAACTCAACTTATCAGTTATAAAAATGACTTCTGGCTTTGCATAATGCAATTGAATGGCTCTCTGCTACCCTACATTTACAAAATAATTGTGGTGCTAAAGAAGATTCTCATAAGTTAAAATGCCTTATACCTAAAGAAAATAATTGGGTACTATTAGAGGAAATAGTAAAAATACTTGAACTATTTGATGACTTTACAAATTATTTTAGTAGAATCAAATATCTCACTTTTTCAGTTGTAAGCACAAGCATCAAGGCATTAAAGCTTAATTTTGCTAATGGTATTGACTATGAATTAGATGAAATTGAAAAAGCTCTTAATAATAATAATAATAGTATGAATAGTATATCAAACAAATTTGTATAATAAAAATAATAAAATTTTTTTTGTTAATTTTAAATGAAATATCTGATGATAATTATAATAGTAATGAAGACTCAGAAAATAACATATCTCGACAATCAACTACGAATAGAAGTCAAGAGCTACTTTCAAATGAACAAATAATCTATAAAGTCCGAGGAGTAATCTATAAATCTCTCTGCAATTATTAGGATAATCCAAAAGATATTAGGTTAATTGCTACCTTACTAGATCCATGATTAAAATTAATGAGCACATGATCAAATATAATACTAAATGATACAATTAGGTTGTTACGTACTGAATTTAAGAAACTATAGTTCAATGAAGTACCTAAACCTATAGAAGCATCGCATTCTTCATCAACATCTTCTTTTATAAGAAGAGTTCTTAATAATCAAAATCAAGACCAAGTTAATTGAGAAATTGAAATTGACAATTACCTGAATGAATCTGTTACCCTAGTTCTAAATATGAATACTGATATTTATAGTTAGTGGCATACTAAAAAAGACTCTTTTTCCATTTTAAGAAAAATTGTATGTAAGTATTTGTCAATTTCTGCAACTTCTGTTCCAAGCGAACATTTTTTTTTTGGATGCAAGAAATTATATTACTTCTAAAAAAAATTAGTTATTACCTGAAATAGTTAGTAAATTATTATTTGTTAAACAGAATAGTAAATATTGTGATGTCTGGATTTGATAAATATAAATTATTAAAAAATTATTCTGTTGAGATTTTTTGATAAATGTTTGAGCTAAAATAGAAAAAAAAAATTGGATCTATTAAATGTGATTATTCATGTTTATTACTTGTTACTATAACTATGTATTCATATTAAAATAAATTCTGCAAGCTTTTATTTTGTTATATTACCTTAATTTTAGAGTTTTCTAAATTTAAAAAACTATTAGAATGTAATTAACTTAATATTAGCCAGTAATCTAGTAACATAATATTTATAATAGTTTAAAGCTTTGACTTACTATGATTCGCAATCTATATTTTATAATAGTCTAAATCTTCGATTTATATCTTAATCTTTAGACAAAGAAGAACCTAAACAAGATAAAGAACTCTTGCAGATAACTTATAATGTGTAGCATAAGCAGAACTTGACTTGTGCTAAATAAGACAAAAAAAGTGATCTATTAGAATCTTAAATCTTTTTTGATCTACTTGAACTTAAAAAGTTATGCCCAGGTGTTATAGACAGACATTGGATAAATTATTTATACAGTTTAAAGTACTTTTTTGAATGTAATGTTTCACTAACAAAAAATTACTATAAAGGCATTTCTAAACTTCAAAAGAACATAAGTATCAAAAATAATCAGTAACTCACTTATAAGTAAAAATTTTTACTATTTACTGTATTATGTCATATTAACTATATATAAGCTTTATATGCTGAAAATGGTTAACAAAAAAAAAGATTGAGATATTACACATAAGATCTAAACTAAAGAACTTTATTATACTGTTTAACATGCTTTATCTGTTTTAACCTTATGCGATAAATTCTTGTACAGTATGTAATTATTGGTTTGTAAACTTTTTTAAGTGAAGTTTTCTTCATTTTCTAGTATTAAAATCCTATGAACCTGGGTGTCAACTCGGGTACAACAGGTAATCTTTGTACTCGAGTAGACCTTTTGATCAACTCGGGTTATCCACAGGTCACCCGACGGGTCACCCGGGTTGTACTTTTTGAGCCAGATTGAAACACTAGAATGAAGTTTACATTCTGTATTAGTATATATGAAAGATATTACAAAAAATTAGTTAACTTTGGAAGTATATGATTATTAGTCAGATGATAGCAAACAAAATGCATGGTTTATCATATCTTCTTTACATACTATATTTGAAACAATGGAGAATAAGCCTGAATGAGTAATTATTATATCTGATAATAGTTCTTATTATTATTACATGGAGTTAATATTAATATTAGGATACTGAAAAAAATGGTATAATATTGTTCCATGAAAATAGATAATTTTAGAGGCTGATGAAGCCAAAACTTCAATTGACTTACATCATGTACAGGTAATATTCAGATCTGTATTTAAAAATAAATATAATTTTTGACTTTAGTTTTATTATATATCTAGATATCATAGGCAATTAAATGATACATCAAATTAGAATTTAGTTTTAATTCAGGTAGTGATATTGAATATGCAATAAAAGATATTGCAAGTACTCATGTATTTAATATTATATCAGATCACCTAAATAGTAAGTATAATACTATAATCTTTTTGCTGATTTTGAATGATTATCTAATTATTTGAGAAAAGAAAAACAAAAATTAGAAACTATTGCTAGAATCTTGAATTTTCAAGAATGGACATGGCCTACAAATAATGAAAAAATTAAATTTATTGCTGCAAAAGCACTATCATAAATAGGAAATTGGAAGAAATAATCTTCTGCAAATCTAAACAATATCACAAAATCTCAAAAAATTGAAAAACCTAATCCTAACTCAATAAATTATACACAACCTTATAAATCCTAAACAATGCCAATTATCCAATACCAAGATATAATCATGCTATTTATAACAAAAAGAAAGAATTTATTATTTTTGATATATAAAAATAATCAATTTTTATATATAAAAAATTGATATTTCTTTTTTTTCATATAGTACAAAATAAAGAATATTTTATTTTTACAATAAATTTTATATATTTTATTAGAAATAATTGATCCTTTGTGTAATTTACAACAAATAAAAGTTTCAGAAATTTCATATAACAAAAATAAATATATATATAAAATCTAAATACTACATTATGAATATAATTAATAATAGATCAATAAAAAATTTTTTTTAGTACTCTAAAATCATAGATTTGACAATTCTGATAAAAACTAATAAAGTTTGTGAAATCAAAAGATATTATAATTTAAGTTTATCTAATTTCAAATTTGTGTTTAATTTATAAACATTTGAATCATAAATATTTGAAATTTTTTAGTAACAGTTTTACTAGTAGTTAGGCTTTAAAAGAAAATAAAAGAAAAACCAAATGTCAACATGTAATAAGAATGGCTACTCATATCAAAAAGTTATTAGAAATTATGTTTTATACAGATACTACTAACTCATCACAAAAATTAATAGCACAACAAATAAAAGAAAAGCTAATACATCATACACAAGCTGAAAAGATTAAAAAAGATGAAATTTCAAATGAAACTACAATAAAAAATTGGATTAGTGGGTTTTCACATCATTGGAAAGAAGCTATAGCCTTGTGGGCTTTAGATGAAACAAAAAATTCCGAACCTTTCTAATGATTTGATTACAAATATAAATCAGTGATTTTATAAATTGTTTATTCATGAGGTAGGAAATCTGTAGCTGCCTTAAAATAAAGTTGAAAACATACAAATTAATAGTGCATTTTATTATGCTTATTTAACTAAATAACTCTTTTTGCATTGTACTATGTAAATATTATATTGATTTTAAATAATTTTTAAGTACTTTCCTTTTTATAGTTAATGGAGATTTGGTTTAAAATTATAATTAATTTACTGTATTTTACCCTGGATTTCTAATTAAAATACTGCTGATCATATATAAATTATTACTTAAATATATTTTATATATGCTATACAAATTTTTATTATATAAATTTTATGTTTTTGACTTAAATAAAAAAATAATCAAAGTGTAGTGACTTAGTGAAGTAGATAAGTTGTCAACTTCTCAAATAATAAGTTAAATGTTTAAATCTTATCAATAACAAAAATTTAAATAATTACTTATATAATTTTATATTATAATAACTGTTTCTAATAATTAGATTAAAATACTTGTAATAGCAGTTACATCAACATAATTGGCAGGTTATATAACATTTGTGTAACTAGTTATACAAAGAAATGCAAACCAGAATCAGACAGTGCAAATATTAGATAGGTTTTTGTAACTGTGTAAATCTATTAAAATTGAAAAACAAAAAGTTTATTTAGGAAAACTTGAATAAAAAGATAATACAGATTTTTAATAGCACTATTGTAAAAACTAGACTACTAGAAATGAATACTAATATTGAAGTAACCAAATAGGCAAGAACCTTTAGATTGAAAGTTTCAGAAGTACTACCAACTAGGCTGCTATAACAAATCAAAAAAAAAATATTAGATTAATTTAATATACTAATAAACTGATTACAGTCTTACATGGTCTATTTGAATTGAGAGTTTAGAGAACAAACAAAATTATACTAAAGTACTAAATATATGTTGTAAAATAGATACTAAGTTTAAATAAACTCTACAAGGACATAGTAGTTAAAAATAAAACTCTGACTGCAAGTGTTAGTTCTGCTATAGCAATATCTAGATTAGCTATAAAAATAGATATAAAAAACTTAGAAGATTTACCTTAAGAATAAAATAGTTCTATAATTAAAATGATAATTTAAGTATAACCTAATAATATTAATACAAATACAGGTTTAAAGAATATAAAATAGAATATTCAAACAGGAGTGTTAGATATAGCAATTAGTAAAAAATCTTTAGACAGCTTCTTTTTTTTTTTTTTTTTTTTTTGTTTAAAGGCTGATGTTAATGGTAGCTAATGCCTTTATTGTGTTTTTAGTGAATATATTATATATTACTTGTACAGAATGAGCATACAACTAGCCATATGTGTAACTTTTAGTTACCTATTTAAGTAGTCTGCCCAAGAGTTCTATACTAGCTGCCATACTTATAATCTACTAGGAGACTATCTAATTAAATATTCTGATTCCTATATTGCATCTAGGCAATTAGTGCCCCAGTTTTTGTACACCTAAGTGCCATCTAACCCAACATTTAGCCTCCCTTCTGTACATCTGTCAAGCCATTACACAATTATTTTCAGAGCACGTCATCTGACTATAAGGCTTCGAGGGCCTTCCTGTTAACTACCTACCCACTCTACAGAACATTAACAGAGTTGCCCTTACAGAGTTCACTTAGACCCCAGCACTTACTTTACAGCATATCCCTAGTACTTTTAGTATACCCTTACTTTTTCTCCAAACTCCCAATCCAGATAGCCTAATAGAACTATGACTAGCCCATTGGTATATCAGGACAGCCTGATATCCTTTTCCTCTAGTCCTCCTTGTTGGACTTCTGGTGACCTGGTTGGTAATACCTCCCACTCAGAGGTTTTTGCCCATCCAGGTACTCCATATTGGTATCTGTTTCCTAGATCTAGCCTTTATAGTAGTACTATTGAAGATCCATGTTACCTCTCTACTTGGGTCTTCCCAAATAGGCTTCTTGTTCCCCAATTTATATGGATTTACATGACCACAAAGACTTATTTTGGGTTTACACCGCCTGATGCTGGTTTGCATTCCTCTGTATAACAAGTTACATGGATGCTCCATGACCTGCCAGTCATGCTGGTGTGACTATAATTACAGGTATCTTAACCTAATCATTAAAAACAGTTGCCATAATATGAATATTACATAGGTGATTATCCAAATTTTTGCTGTCTGTGGGTTTTGAACTCACAACCTACTACTTGGAGGGTTGATAACTTATTCACTTTACTAAGTCGCCACACTCTTTTAGACAGCTTCTTAAATAAATAATATAGCAAAGTTATATATATAGCTAATTGTATACTCTTTCTGTAATAGTTCATAAGAATCATATTACCAAAAATATTATTAATAAAAATAAAAAAAATAAACAAGACAATATATGCATTTTAATACTATACTAAATAAGATAATCTTGTTTAAATCTAGATTTAACTTGAAAACTTATTAATTACACAAGTATAAATCAATTTTTAAATTAATATTTATTTATATATTATTTAAATTTAATAAATTTAAAAGATGTAATAACCTAATAAAATAATCAGATTGTTAATCTTTCAAGTAGTAGATAGGTGTTTAAATTCTATTGACAATAAAAATTTAGATAATTATCTATATAATTTCATATTATAATAACTGTTATCAATGATTGAGTTGGAATATCTGTAATAGTAGCTACACTAGTATGACTAGCAGGTTATGAAACATTTGCATAGTTATATAGAAAAATGCAAACTGACAATCAGGCAGTGCAAATACTAGATAAATCCTTGTATTTATATAAATCCATTGAAATTGAATAACAAAAAGTTTATTTGAGAAGATCTAAGTAAAGAGGTAGTTAGATTTTTAATAGTATTACTGCAAAGGTTAGTCTAAAAAAACAAATACAAATGTTATAGTATCTAGTCATAGTACCTGAACAGACAAGAACCTCTAAATTAAAAGTCTCAAAGATACTACTAACTAGGCTGTTAGAATAAATCAAAAAAAAAGAATATTAGACTAATTTGATATATTGATAAATTGGTTATAGTTTTATACAGACTATTTAAATTAAAAGTTTAGTAAAAAGACAAATAAAAAAGCAGAATTATACTAAAGTACTAGGATTATGCTGTAAAGTAGATATTAGGCTTTAAGTAAACTTTATAAAAGCATAGTAATTAAATAATATAAATCTAATTACAAATATTAGTTCTGTTATAGCAATACCTAAGTCAGTTGTAAAAATATATACAAAAGCCTCTAAAGAGTTTATCTTAAGTATAAAATAGTTCTAAGATTAAAATAATAATCTAGGTATCTGAGTATAACCCAGTGATATTAACACAGATTGCAGCTTTAGAAAATTTAAAATATAATATCTAAACAGGAATGTTAAATATAACAATTAGTAAAGAATCTTTAAAAGACTAAAAAGATTATCTTAATATCAAAAAAAAAAAAAGTTAAGTGATATAACAACCTGGTAAAATGATCAGATTGTTAATCTCCAAGCGATAGATTGAGTATTCAAATTTATTAATAGTAAAAATTTAAATAATCACCTATGTAATATTGTATTATAACAATTGTTACTAATAATTGGATTAGGATACTTGTAATAACAATTACACTAACATGACTGACAGGTCATAGAGCATCTGTGTAGTTATAAAGAGAAATATAAACTAACAATCAGTCAATACAAACATTAAATATATCCTTATAATCATGTAAATCTATTGAAATTAAATAACAAAAAGTTTATTTAAAAAGACCTGAATAAAGAGATAGTTATATCTTTGATAACCTTACTATAAAGACTAATCTAAGAAAACAGATATCAAGATCATAGTATTTGGTTATAGTATTCAAATAGATAAAAATCTTTGAGTTAGGAGTCTCAGAGTTACCATCAACCAAATTGCCAAAATAAACTAAAGGAAAAGAATATTGAACTAATCTAATATATTAATAAACTGATTATAGTTCTATACAGACTATCTGAATTAGAAGTATGATAAAAAGACAAATAAAAAGACAAAAATATATTAAAGTACTAAAATTATGCTATGAAGTAAATACTAAAATCTGTGAGAACTCTACAAAATTATAGCAATTAAATAATATAACTCTGATTGCAAATATTAATTCTGTCATAATAATATTGAGTTAATTATAAAAATAAATATAAAAAACTTAAGAAAGTTTATCTTGAAAATAAAATAGTCCTAAGGTTAAGACAATAATCTGAACATCTGAATATGATCTAGTAATATTAATACAAGTTACAGTTTCAGAGTATTTAAAATAAAACACTTAAACAGAAATATTAGATATAATAATTAATAAAGAACCTTCAAGTGAATTTTTTAAATAGGTAATATAAAAAAATTATATATATAACCAATTATATATTCTCTTGTAGTAATTTACTAAATCACATTATTAAAAAAATCTTTAATAAAAGTCAAAAGATTAAAAAAATTACCTTAATACTAAAAAAAAAAATTTAATCAAGTTTTTTTTTTTTTTATTTTTAATGTTAACACCTAAAATGCATATGATACTTTTTTATTAAAAGCAAATTATTAAGATATTGTATATATTTATATATATGTTTCATTTTTTAAAAACAATTTTTCAGATTATAGTATAAAGTATATATGTTTTTATAAAGATATTTGATTACTAGTAAAAGTAGAATTTTGCTTGAGAAATTATTATCTCTCTATTTGAAAAAGATATAGATGCATTATATTTCATACATTATGTTTGTATATGTTGTGTGTCAGATTAAGACTTGCATTAGATTAAAACTAGCCTAAATTAGAGTTAAGGTTAAGGTGAGAACTAAAATTTAACAAAGCCAATTATTGCAAATCATTTAATGCTGGCTAATGGTTTTAATCTGACACACATTGGTCTTAATCTGATGCCAAGTCTTAATTTGATGCACAACATATATAA